TTTTTAATTATTTTAAAAAAATGCTGCAACTCAAACCAATCAATCCCTTTTAGGAATGGATCGATTGGTTCTTCACCCAGTAGCTAGATTGAAGGAAAACATAGGGAACCGATTGATCCCCCTGAAAAGGGATCAATCCGATGAATAGGCAGTAACCAATTTTCGTTCAACTCATGAATCGATCGATTCTTCATGGGACATGATCGATTAGGTATTCAACTAGTAGCTATAAGAAGTTTGAAATGAGCAAAACCAATTGATCCCCTTCAAAATAGATCGATCGGTTCCATGCAAAGACCCATAATCGATCGATCGGGTTGTGCTTTTTGGGCATAATAAAGTCGAGGTTTTCCTATTTCACCGAGCATTTCAGATTTCCTCTCTCATCCTCTTCAAACCCTAAACATTTTTCACCCAAAATTGCTCATTCCTCGCTCCATTTTGTGTAAATTCCTTCACTCCAACTTGACCTATTATCCAAATTCCTCCATGAAACCTATCAATTTTGCCTCAAAATGGCCTAAAAAATCAAAGTTACTGTCGGATGAAGGAACCTCCCAATGAAGGCGTCAAGCACCACGATGAAGCCCTCATTTAATCAGAACTTCAACAATCCAGAGGTAAAAGACTGGTGCGAGACAAATTTTACCCATCGAAAAGTCAAACATGGCAGGGTAATTTTTTTAGATTTTTTTGCTCCATAGATTTCCCTTACCTGCATGTCTTTGAGGCATTTGGTTGGCTATATTACTTATGTATGAAAGGCCTGTTATTTGAGAACTTAGTAAGAGTTTTCTATAGTAATGCAAGCTATATTCAGATTGAAGGAACAAATAGACATTATCTTGATAGGTTTAAAATTTATGTGATGGGAAGGGAAATTTTAGTCACAAAGCAAATGTTAGTTGAAGCCTTTAAGCTAGAGGATGTAGGAAAAACAGACACTAAATGTGATATGGTGTAACTTGCACAATATATTTTTAGCAATCTAAATCTCTTAGTTACTCCCACTCAAGCCTCTCGGTTACCCATGTATGATATATTGCTCCACCTCATAGTTACCCATCTTCTAGCACCTTTTGAGATACAATACTTCACCATTAGAAAGTAAGATTATTGGTGGATGTATAAGATTAAGAATAGATAGAAACCTAATTTGATGCATTTCATTTTTTATGATATGATGAGGGTAGTCCAGGACAAAGATATTACTTCGGTATATGGGTATCCAATCAGTAATTTGTTGAGGTATTTGGAGATAAATACTAAAAGAGACAAGAAAATGAGCTTCAATGACCCCTTTAGTGTTTTTGGAGCTCCTACATTGCATAGCATAGGGTATATTCAAAATACAACTTGATTGTAGGTAAAAAAAGATGACGTTAGAGCTGCACAATAAGAGGGTGAAGAGCAAGACCCTATGGATATGCCTGACTAACCAGATGAACCCCTTACCCAACCATCTCACCCTTAAAGAACCTTAGAGATGATCTTATTTAAGATGAATAGCTTGCATTCAATGGTTGGCAATATAAATACTCGATTGAAGACTATAGAGGAAACTTAACATGAGCTGGTAACACAAGTTCGTCATCTTTGAGCTGATGTTGAGAACATGAGGTCTACATCCTTGTACATGGGGCAGCCATCTTCTCACTCTCTTCATTCTCATCAGTTGTCCCATTCTCCACCTCCACCACAATGAGCTTCAGTAGTGTCATCCCTTGTATTTTCCCACATATTTTATATTTTGTAATTATAACTTTGCATTATGGTTTGTAAACTTTGATCTTTATATTAATGCAACTTATCGTTTATTCTCTTGTGGCTTGTGATTTTGTGGCTTGTGGCATTGTTGTGTGGTTTGATGTTTGAAGTGCATTTGGGTGGCCTTGAATCGCTTATTCCCTCATTTTGATTTGCTTCATTTTTTTTGCTATGATAAAAAAAAAGGAGAAATATTGGTATGAAAATTTGATGATGCTTTGATATTGATGATTATAGTGATATTACTCCTGCCTAATTGCCTTAAATCTTATGCCTAAATTCATGGGGAGCTTGTCTTTCATAAGTTCAGGGGGAGCTTGTTTTCAAAAGAAAAAATGTTTTTTCATGCAAATTTTTCATTTGGTTTTGTCATAACAAAAAGAAGGAGATTGTTGGCCTTGAATTAATCAAGAATTTTGATTTGACAAAACAAAAATTTACCTAATTTGAATCAACTTTTTCTAAGCTTGAATTAGACATTTTCCACCCTTCTATCTTGCCAAAATCAATTTGAAAACCAAAATATGTCAAATTCTCAGAACAAAACATGTTTAGTGCAAGTTGTGATGGAAGGGATCGATCTCTTAAGGGAAGGGATCGATCCCCTCCTTACCATATCGATCCTCTAGCAAAAGGGATTGATCCTGTTTTCTTTCAGAATCGAAAATCCTTCAAATTTTGGCAAAAACCAATCGATCCCCTCCCTATAAGGATCGATTGGTTGAGGTTGCAAGATAACCAGATCGATCCCTTCAATCAAGGGATTAATCACTTTTTCATACAGAATGCTTTCTTCGTGAAATTTTTCAGAAAAGAGATCGATCCCCTACATAAGGGATCGATCACCTAAGGCAAGGGATCGATTGATTGTTCAAACAGAATGCTTCTCAAGTGTTGAAACCCAAAAAAGAGATCGATCCCCCCACATAGGAGATCGATCCCCTAAAGCAAAGGATCAATCGGGTAAGGCAAAACAGGCACAAAATCGGGCCTTCTCAAACATGAACCAATCGATCCCCTAAGAGAAGAGATCGATCCCATGAAGGTTAGAAACTCCCAACGGCTATTTTTTTGCTGAAATTTCTGCAGGTTTGAAGTATTAAATACATCCAACGGCTTTCAATTTCTTCCTAACTATAAATCAAACATTTAACTGCAGATCAAGGGCAACAAAAGTAAAGAAACTTATTGCTATTCACCTACCAATCTGCTCAAGCCTTCAAAGTTGTAAAAAAAGAAAAAGTTTAGAATTCATATCAGTTTTTCTCTACTTTCTTATTTATACCTTTGTGTACTTCAACTTAGCAAACACCTAATCTTTGTGAGGTTCTTAAAGTTTGCCAAACACTTCTAAATTTTTGTATTGTGAGTGTGTAAGCTTAAGGGGGAGGATAACCCTTAAGGGTGTATGTTGTTGAGTTTGTAAAGCTTTGTGAAAACTTAATTGTAATCTTCATCTAATAGTGAATTGAACTTCTTAGCAATAGAGGTTAAGGGAGATGACGTGGGTGCCTAAGAAATGACCGAACCTCTATAAATCTTGGTGTTAAATTCTCTAATCCTATCTCTTGTTTATATTAATCTATTATGCTTATTTGTTTTTGATAATTTGTGATTATTAAATATTATCTTTGAAAATTTTATTAAAACCAATTCATCTTTTTTTTTGTTTATTCTAAATATTTGAGCTAACAAAAAATTTCTGTGGGTGGCGAGCAGGCTATTGGAAAGGAAAATATAAATGTCATACTGAAACAAAATTAAAATTAGTAATTGACTTTATAAAAAGAAAAAAAAATCAAACTGATAAATATAAAAATAGAAAGCAAAGTATGAACGTAAATTTGGTCAAATAGAACTACTAATAATAATGGCCTGCAATGCAAACGTTATGTACTGCAATAATAAATTAAAAAAAGGTACAGCAATAATAATGGTTGAATTTAACGGTTGCTTAGGCTTAAGATTATATTGTGTCAACTATTGTATTTTCACAAGTTTTCCCGCGCCACCGAAACAAGTCTCCCACTTCCACCTCACGCTTGGCATTTATGCCTTGATTACTTCCATTATTTTTAAAAAATTAATGTTATAAGTACTGTCTTAATTATAATAAAATATTTAAATTCAAAATTTTTTAATTTAATATTTAAATTATAAATTTATTAATTAATATAATATTTAAAAAATTATTTTATATATTATATATTATCATTTAAAATTATTATATTAAAAATAAATAATATATTAATTAATATATTCATAATTTATATATTATGTTAAAAATTTTTAAAATTTAAATATTATATTAAATATTTCATTATAATTCAAAACTCATTGATAACATTAATTTTTCCAAAAAGATAGATATTACATTGATGTTGGTTCAATTTATCTAGAGTAATAGCAATTCCCAAATTATTTGATTTCAATCATTGATTCATTTTTACTATATATATTTTAGATTCAATAACTGCCTTCAAGTACCCAAAAAAAAAAGCAATTCAAATTGATTATTCATTTTTGTTAGTTATTGTGATGCAAAAAAGATAAAATTTTCATTAGTGACTAAATTATTCCTAATTAATTATCAAAGAAAAGAAGGATATTTTAAAAATAAATGTAATTACTTAGTCAAAATAAATTATTTTGAAATTTACACAGTAAGATGAATTTTAGGCATTAACTACTGCATCGCTGTCAAACTCGGGCTTCAAATGAGACCCTACAAAATAACGGGAAATGAAGGATTAGTTTACAGTATCAAAGAGAGTATGCACAAAAAATCAACTTCTAAGCTGCAGTCTGTTTATGGGGATTTGATTATTTTAATTTTTTTTATCTTTGGTATGGCAAAGGAAGAAGAAAAAGAAAGAAAAGTCCCTGGCTTTATCAGAGTTGGCAACTTAAAAAGTTAGAAGAGCTGTGCCTCTACGTTTTTAGCAAATTCTTTTCAATAAATCAAAAAACAAAAATAAGGAAAGATATTACCCTTACTTGTATAGTCTATAGACACATATAAGAGTAGTATGAATGTTGAATAATAATCAAACATCATATTATTTTTAGCTGTTTGATTTAATAATTAAAATAATTTTAAAAAAGATATTAAGATTGAAATTTGAATTTCAATCTTCTTTCTTTTTCTAATATAAGATTTTATCCACTTGAATGATAAAAAAAAAAAAACCCATCATTTTATCATTACAATTAAATTAGATTAAATCATGACCATTTTTTAAACCGTTAGTCTCTGTCTTAGGTGCTATTAAGTCACAAGTCTAAATTTGAAAAATGAAGATTAAATAATACCAAGGCAACCAGAAAGATTAGCCTTGTTTGTCAATTTTGCTCAGTATTTGTGACCCCACAATCCGTGTCCCTGGAGTCTGCTTTGAATCTAAAATCCGCTCGATTGCAAACATATTACACCATGGATAGAGACCAAGAGTTGTTGAATAGAAATTAGCAAGTTGAGGTTTTTAGAATTTTGGGATTTCGGTTTCTTTTGCCACGCCAGTTTCTTTTGCTGTATTTGCTCAACCAAGGAAGGATCTGGGTTTTGCTCCATGCTTTGCTTTTCAAGTGAACGGTGATGTGCGTTTTGCTTTCCAAGTGATTTCTGACTTGGGTTTTAGTTGAAAACAGTATTGCTGTGATGATGGTTTTTAATTACCAAGAACTGCTGGTAAATCCCAGGTCACCAACAGCTAGCCTTTAGTATTGTGGCTACGAGAAGTTTTCTGTGTTTTGAAGCAAGAGTGGTTTGTTGGTAAAGTTTGGTGATTGAATAAGTTGGCACTTAAAAGTTTGGGCTTTTGAATTTGCCTAAAATTTTAATTTGATCTTCGACAATTACTCGAATTTTTTTTATTTTTTTATTTTTTGGCTTATCGATCATGTATATCTTGTGAAGATTTTATTATAGGATTTTCCTTTGGTATATGTGAATTTATAAGAATTGATAGTGAACCATCAATTTGATTGCTAACTAAATTGATGGCAACCCCATCACCACCTCCAAAATCCTCTCCTCCTGCTGTGTCACCAGCTTCTGCTATCAATCCGCCGCCCCCACCGCCTTTCAGCAGTACTTCTAGTCCTTCACCCGCGCAAAACTCTCCTCCTCCTGAACCTTCGACGAGTGCCACACCTTCACCGACTAATGCTAGTCCACCAGCCTTTCAATCTCCACCTCGTCAACCCCCTCCAGGTGCTAATCCAGTCACCTCGTCACCAAAATCCCCTGCTGAAACTTCACCTCCACCTCCGCTGGCCCCTGCATCACCCCCTTCCCCGCTTGCTGTTTCACCCACTTCCCCTCCTTCCAGTTCCACTTCTCCACCGCCAGAACCACCAGCAACTCCACCATTTAGTCCTCCATCACCTGCCCCTAGGCCATCACCTGGACCGACACAAAATTCATTACCACCTGCACCAACACTATCTACTCAACCACCTGACGCTTCACCACCACCGCGACTACCACCATCGTCACCACCTATTAATTCACCGCAACCATCACCTCCCAAAATTTCACCTTCATCACCATCGCAAGCTGCACCAAAAGCACCACCAAATTCACCTCCTCCACCATCTTCATCTCCTACTCCAACGCCTCCTCCCTCTAAGCTCACACCAACCAGTTCTCAACCAACAGCTTCTCCCTCAAATTCTACTTCGAGATCATCTCCACCACCACCTGTATTAAAACTATCACCTCCTGCTCGAGTTTCGACTCCACCATCAGATAATCCGACTTTAAATGGTTCTGGTCCAAGTGAACCAGAAAGTCCAGACTACTCAGGTAATGATGGCATTGGTGTAGGGGGTGCAGTCGCTATCGGTGTAGCTGTAGGGATCATATTGCTTAGTGTCATTGGGCTGGCTGTTTGGTGCTTGAGGAAGCAGAAGAAGAAGTTTACTCGACTTAATGGCGGTTATATTATGCCATCCCCACTAGGCTCTTCCATAAGATCAGGTAGATTTTTTAATAACTGCCTTGTTATTTCCTTGACATGTTATTGCTTGCCCTCCTCTTAACACTTTGAACTTCCTATACGACTCGGGTTCTTTCAGTTATCCTTAAAGATTTGATTCCCTTCATCCAGAATACCCATTTCCTAACTACGAATTCAAGTGCTGCTTGTAGTGTGAAAAAAAAAGGAGGAAAAGAAGGGGAAAAAGAATACAATAATAGTTTTGTTGCCATTTTTGCTTGACGAATGCTGAATAAATATGAAACCTATTAATATATAGATATTGGGCTCTGGGATACTATCCAGATGATTTTACAAATGAGAAAAAGGTTGCATTGGATCTAGCTGTTTATTTTTTTATACTCCTATTTATCTGTTCGGTTGCTTAGGGTATTGTTGATAAAACTTTAGATTTATACATGTTCTTGTGCATATCAACATTGAGTTAATGTTTTGATTGTTGTTATTAACATTCTTCTAGATTCATCCCTTACAAAAACACACTCTTCAGCTCCTCTCAAAGGAAGTAGTTCTGGAAGTGATTTAGTGCATTCACCACTGGTGGTGTCAGAATCTGGTGGTTTAGGCAATTCGAGGTTATGGTTTACGTATGAAGAATTAGCCAAGGCCACAAATGGATTTTCAGACCAAAATCTTTTGGGTGAAGGTGGATTTGGGTCTGTTTATAAAGGGTGTTTACTAGATGGAAGAGAAGTGGCAGTTAAGCAGCTAAAAATTGGTGGGGGGCAGGGTGAACGAGAATTTAAAGCTGAGGTTGGAATTATTAGTCGTGTACACCATCGCCATTTGGTTTCGCTTGTGGGTTACTGCATTTCTGAAAGTCAAAGACTTCTCATATATGATTATGTCCCTAATAATACTCTTTATTTCCATCTTCATGGTAAGGCATAAGGCCATAACTGAGCTTTAAGGAATTGATTCACTGCACTGGACTGCTAATCTGACATGTTTTGCTCCTTATTTTTGGCAGGTGAAGATAGGCCTGTTTTGGATTGGGCAACACGTGTTAAAATTGCTGCTGGTGCAGCTCGTGGGATAGCTTATCTCCATGAAGACTGTAAGTATTTCCATTCACATAGTGATTGCCAAGTAATAATCTCCTTGACACTGGAACCTTCCAAAATGCTTGAAGAGGGAATATTTTGATTTCCAGAACAATACACTTAGCATTTAACAACTAATATATTTTTTTTCTAATGTAATCCCTGAAAATATATGTGAGGGGATGCATTCCAGTATCTTGACATAATGGCATGTTGGTTTGGTCAAGGATCACTATCTATTAGACATGGTGAGATGAAATAGGTTTTTATCACACACAAAAAGAAAAAAAAGAAAGGAAGCATTTCTATTATTCTTTAACTTATTTGAAGCTGGAAAAAGAACAGATGGCAGACTCATCGCCAATATTCTTTTTCTTTTATGTAGAAGATATGTTCTTTTCAGCTTGGTTTAGAAAAGGAAGGATCAGTCATCCATCCTTCATTCTTTTGCAGTCCATGATGTAACCTTTATGGAGAGTCTTCCTGTTTCCAACTATCTCCTGCAGCATAGAAACTTTCTTTGCAGTAGTGCATATGCCGAATTTAGTCTCTTCAACATTTGCAGAAACATTGCTCTTTTCTCCATGCAGTCTTTGTTTTCCAAATCAACCGTGTGTCTGGCTGTGTCAAATTAAACATTTAGTTGGTTGATTAAATTGTCAAGGTTTATTATTTATGTTGTTTAGATTGTTCAATGTTCATATGTCAGGTCATCCTCGTATCATTCACAGGGATATCAAGTCATCAAACATTCTTTTAGATAACAACTTTGAAGCTCGGGTATGCATATTTCTCTTTTTCCTGTCTCATCTCAAAATACATTCAGCAGTTATTGCCTTAATGTTGGTTATTGTCTTACAGTTTCTATTTTCTAATCTATTTTACAGGTTTCCGACTTTGGACTTGCCAAGTTAGCTCTGGATGCAAATACACATGTAACAACACGTGTTATGGGAACCTTTGGGTAGGCACTTAACTCATTGCAACTATGGATGTTTTACTGAGGGCTTGTAGGTCATTTCTACTAGTTTTTGAAGTATAGTAGCCTAAGGTATAAACTTTCTTTTTTATTTAACAACAAATATATCAACCATTTTTATGTTGGTTGTTCAGATACATGGCCCCTGAATATGCATCAAGTGGTAAATTGACTGAGAAATCCGATGTATTTTCTTTTGGAGTTGTGCTTTTGGAGCTAGTTACTGGACGGAAGCCTGTAGATGCATCCCAACCCCTCGGAGATGAAAGTCTAGTTGAATGGGTAATTTATTGATTTAACCATTCATAAATGTCCTGCTGTATCTAGTTGAATGGGTGACTTATTGATTTAACCATTCATTAATGTCCTGCCGTAATTCAATCTTACGATTTATAGTTAAATCAATGAGCATCAAACTCTTTTTGGTTAAGGGTGTTACTTCTCTAGTGGCACATTTAGGGGCTTGATTTTGAATGCGATTCACTTGTGTTGCTTAATATGGTTTCTTCTGAAGGGCAAAAGGAAAAAGATTTTCTTCTTTATGTTACTGTTTCTATAAGGATGATGCTATGCTGTGGCCTCTTTTTTACCTTAGCTGTGGGCTTTTGAAACTGAGCTGCCTTTTTGCTCCATCCTAACAAATTGATTCTGAAGCTTTGTTTTTTTTCTGAATTCTCAATTGCAAATGCTAGAGAAAATCCTTTCATTATTCATAATCCCCTCTGTTTTAATCACTACAAACAGAAAAACATTTCTCGTCTCTTTCCTTATTTATCCTTCTAATCTACTAATCTAAATGACGTAACTTTAATTTCACCCCAGACAAAAAGAAATAAAATCACCTATTGCCTTCTCAAAGAGCCAGATGTTGCTCTAATATCTTCTTCCTAGTTAGAGTTCCCTAGTTAGATGTTCACTGATCATCTACTTGAAGTTTGCTTTTTTATTCTTTATTTTTTTCTAAATCTAAATTGATGCATATACACATGCATGCATGCAATAGATATGAGATGGAGCAAAATAGTGAAAGACATCTGAGGATGGAATGCTAAACAAATAACTGAAACTTTGCTCATGAAAAATCCACTTTATGCTTCAGGCCCGGCCTTTGCTGACTCATGCATTGGATGGTGAGGACTTTGAGGGTTTGGCAGATCCGAAGCTTGGTAGAAACTATGTTGACAGTGAAATGTTTCGGATGATTGAGGCTGCTGCAGCTTGTGTGCGGCATTCAGCTGCAAAAAGACCACGGATGGGACAGGTATTTAAAGTTTGGTACTGAAGAAACAAATGGAGAGTGTTTCTTCTCTTTTCTTTTCTTTTCTTTTCTTTTTTCCATAACCATGTCTGAATATTTGAACTATATGGTGTTAGTCTCAGTGTCACATCTTTCTTACTTTAGTTATGTTTGGCAGGTTATGAGAGCTTTTGATAGTTTAGCCACATCGGATCTAACCAATGGAATGAGAGTGGGTGAAAGTGAGGTATTTAACTCTGCACAGCAATCTGAAGAAATCAGATGGTTTCGGAGGATGGCTTTTGGCAGTCAAAATTACAGTACAGACTATTTTAGTGAAAATAGCAGGGAAACTAGCAGGGATAGTTGAAGAAGAATATGGTAAGTATTGAGAGATGAATTCATCTTAAACCATGCTGAGCGAGGCTGAGCGAAGCTAGTCTGGACGGCATTTCAAATTGGTATTGCTGCTGAAGGTTTCCAGCTGAAGTATACTAATTTTCCGTCTATGGAATTTGACAACACCAAGATGTGGAGACAGTTTTTAGACCCTCCCAAAACATTGCGAGTTGTAACCAGGCTCCGTTTTAGTTTCCATATCCATCATTTATGTAATTTTCTCCCCATTCTGCCTTTCTACTGCAAATCTTTCGGCTTGTAAATGGTTCGTGCCAATTTTATTCCAACCCAAGTTAAAGCTAATAAAACTTGCTGCAGATTTCCCTATACGTGTATCTCCTTATCTCTTGTAGAATCCTCTTTGTAATAGAAAATAGAAATGGAGAAAAAAGATGGAAAAGGGAGAGGGATTGAAACATCTAACCCATTTATATATCTAAAGATGGGAATTCAAGCAAGAGAAGCCGAGACTTTAGAAATCTGCTTTGCGTAGATGTGTAGATAATGCCAAACTCATAGCAGCAGTCTGATAATAAGGATGCAGCTGCAGTATATAGTGTAATTTCTTTTTCTATTTTCATTCTGTTTTCACTTCGTAATTGGTTACCATAAATGAGGTTATATGCATGCGTGCATGTCTATGGACGTATGAATTTCAAGGGAGCACGAAAGAAATTGATTGTCTAATGAAAAAAGGAAGCGAAGGGTTCGTACATCAGATATTCTAGTAATTTAGGCCTTTTCCATTTTTGTCAAAAATAAGCAAAAGCGCCTTTGTGTACAAGACAAGCTTTATGACACCCAAGTAATGGCCTGAAAATGGAATCCTGGAAACTCCTTGATTGTAAGGAGTAGAATTTAAGGAATCCGATTTGGACGGGCCACGTCTTTGTTTTATTATTATTATTTTTTTGAAAATGGTTGCCTCAATATTTAAGATTGAGAGAGAGCTAGTTTGTGCTTCTGGTAATGCAATATGTAATCTTAAGTCGAGCAACACCAATTGCCTTCCGTTCTAACTTTGCCACGTATCATTTTATGTTTGCTTTGCCTTTCGTAATAACCACCTAAGAGGAGGAACTGATTCCTTAGCAGCAAGACATGACTTGTGCAAGCATTTTATTTCCTTCATCGTATGCACCTTTGGCTTCTTCCTTGTTCTGCCACCTTTCACAGCCATGCCCATGGAAGACTGCAACATACTTGTCGCTGACTGTATTGCCATATCTTGCTGTACCCAATGCCTGATTCTCCAAATCATTGTCTTTGTCCTCCTCAAAACTTCCTTGCAAACTAATTCGGAAAACGAAAGAATATGCTAAGAAGAAACTTGGGCTGGTGAGAAAGGAAGAGAAGGTGATCAAAACTGAGAGGGTAAAGGGTGGATTCCAAGATGAGGCTGTAACCATGAGTATAGAATTAATAGAAGGTTTTGGCGCTGCTGAATGCCAAGGCTTTCAATGTTGTATAGAGGATGCTGAGAAAGTGTTGGAAGAACTGTCGCAGAAAGGAGATTTTGCATTCGGAAGCTTTTGGGGCAGATCAGACTCAGACACACCAGAAGTAATCTCCTCCTCGGCCAATCAGGGATATGTTTTTGTAGAATATGAGTTGATTAAAATAGCTTCTTTGAGGTAAATTGAATATGCAACTTTATTAGCTGCTTTTGTTTACTAGAATCAAGTAGATTCAGCATAAATAGAATGGCTTAATTTGGAGGAACAAACATTATAAAACCAAGCATAATCAAAACTACTTTTTTACTTTTTCTTTTTTCCAATTAATACCAACAATAAATAAATTACAACACTCATGAGAACCATATATATATATATATATATCGATAATGAAGAATAATCAATTCTTTCTTTTTCAGTTATACATACATATATATACATATATATATATATACATACATACATATATATATATGATTTGAAAAGTTAAAACTAACACTCCCAAAATATATACATATATATATATATATATGTATATATCATTTGTATGAGAAACAACTATGTACTTCAAGAACAAAAAAGTCGGAAAAAAAAAAAAAAAAACAGAACCCCCTCCTCCACATCCCTACAAAGATTGTACTACAGCCAGCCCCCACTTCTCTTGGATCTATAAAAAGCCTTCTTCTCAGAAATTTCCAAATTCGGACATCTTCCACTATTGACAGGATCCTTTTTACTGTTCAGGGGCAGCATATGTTTGAGATCACTTTTTTAGTGGCAACATGAACAAGAAGTTAAGCAATACCTGCATTGTTTATTGTAAGCTGGCAATATTTTAAATTTATTTTACATTAAAAAATCATGAAATATATATCAATTTTCCAAAAATAAAAGTTTAGTAATTTCAATGTAACTATACTAGTGTCATTTATATTTTATTTTTTAATATCATGAAAGTTAAAGAGGACAAACTAAGAAAATGGAATCAAGAGAATAAGAAGTAAGAAGCAGGTAAGAGTTAAACACCACGAAATATTAATGATTGCCATTTGTAGTAAATTAAGACATATAAAAAGATCAAAGTTTGAATTCAACAATTAATGTCCCCAAAGCAATAACATACATAGAGGGCACATGGGCTCCAATAATGTGCCATCTGCCTGTGCCATGTGCTGATCTCCAACATTGAACTTTATTTATGAGAAAAAAAAAAAGGATATACTTAGCTGTACAAAACGAAAAATAGTTCCCTCAACTTACCAAAACAGCATATATATATATATATATGTAATTTTTTTTCATATTACCAAAACAGTATACATTTACAAAGCAAAACGCGGTTTGCATTTGAAGTTTGAAGCATTCCAATAGGAAATTTCCAGCTCAAAGAAATTGAAAAATTAATGGAAGGAAAACCCCACGTCTTTTACGAACCAACAAGAACAATTAAAGGACATGGTCAAACCACATTCATTCTTTTCCTTTCCTTGTTCTTCTTCTACTTCTTACTTTGCCTGTCTTAATTTCTCTATCAATATCAATGATGAAGCGTACAATCGGCTGACCAACTGAAGCAACTCAAAGACATATTCACGCACTTCGACATGGATTCCGATGGTAGCCTCACGCATCTTGAGCTGGCCGCTCTCTTGCGCTCCTCGGGGCTCAAGCCTAGCGGTGACCGTCTCCACATTTTGCTAGCCAACATGGATGCTAACGGGAATGGGTTTGTGGAGTTTGATGAATTGGTGAACGCCATAATGCCCAACATGAGCGAGCAAGTATCGATCAACCAGGCGCAGCTGATGGAGGTTTTCCAGTCATTTGACCGGGATGGCAATGGATTTATCACCGCGGCTGAGCTTGCAGGTCCTGTTAAAAAAAATAATTAAGAGGAAAAAATAATATAGAAAATTTTTCATTTTGAGGCATGAAAAATAATTTTTTAAAGATAATTATATTTTTAGGATACAACAAAGCCTAAAAATTTCATAATCAAAAGTAGTAAAAATGATTACACTAAAAGATTTATTTATAATGAATAAACAAACATAAACTTTTGTTCAGATAATTATGACTTTATGTATAATCATAACTTTTATGAATAATAATTTATTTATATTCAAATAGTTATAATAATTTGCCATATAATGATTATTTCTGGTCAAATATAATTATTTAAAATATAAATAAAATTAATATCAAAATTAATTTTATTCATAAAAAATTAAGTCTTTCTATTTAATGTGGGATGCACCACATTCTAAACTACGAATAATCCCTCACTAGTTTAGAATGTTAGTACTTAATTTTTACATTTCACACAAATAAATATTATGAATACAAAAAAGTACTTTTCAATTTAAACATTCAATCAGCATATATATCTTAGAATTCTAACGAAATTGATGGTGTTCATAGATTAAACCTTAACTCCTAGTGTTAGAATTGAAGATATAACACATACAATACTTATTTATTCTTCTGTCAAAGGTTTATAATTGTTTTTAACATTATTATGACCATGCGCTTATCCTATTCATAAACATTTCATTATTGGTGTCTAATAGTCAGGGTTTAAATCCATTCTACTTGTAATACTACTAACCAAATATCTTGTAATTTAATTTTTTTATGGTAATTACCCCCACTTGAGATTGAATCTCTAATATAATCACTTCAGGCTAATATGTCTGAACTTTTCATTTTGCATAATTCTAGAGCATATCATTTATATGCTCTAGACATTGTTGCCTCATTTTTATCATTTTAAGAAATAGTTAGTTTTGGTTGTAGCCATAACTCTATATTCATTGATTTCAACCATTCTATTTTCATACTTTTATACATTTTTAATACAATTATACTTCTAGAATAATTGAATAAACTCAATAACTAAATCAAACTATTTTAGTCTTTTTATTATTTTTAAGGACTTTTTTATGATTTTACTTTAATAAGTGTCTAAACTTATTGCAGACAACCATTTATGTCTGAAGTCAATTTTTATCATTATTTTTTATTATAGTATGCTCTTATTATTATTATTATTATTATTATTATTATTATTATTGTTATTTCTTTTTTATTTTCTTTCTTAACCGGCAACCAAAGAAATTGAAATTGAGAGTTGAATTCGGTCAAATGATCAATTAGAACCTAAATCAAGGGATTTCTAATCAATCCAAGAAATCAGCAATGAACCTAGACCTAAAAATGAGGTATGAGTAGAATCCAATCCCAGAATTCAAGCATGAGATTGGTTATATCCGTTCCTAAAATCTATTTTAAGAATGCCTATAAATTGAATGCTAGATCAAAAAAACAAACAGGGGTGAAAATGGGAGAAATTTTGGTTGTTGCAATTTTGGGAAACAGTTTCTGGGCAGAATGGAAGTTTTTGGGGATTTTTTATTTTTGATTTTTGGGTTCGTTGGAAAGATTTTAGGGTGTAGTTTAAGGTTCATGGAGTTGGGATTGAAGTTTTGGAAGGTTTGGAAAAATTTTGGAAAATCTAGAAAAGTTAGGGAAAATCTGAGTTTTTTTTTGGCAAATATGAATT